AACATAATCTTCTAGATTCCGTGGCATATTCTCTAGTTTTTACTCGTTTGTGCAAAAATGCAGTTTCTGATGCACCACAATATGATATATACAAGCCAAAAAATACATTTTATGATCATCTTGCTTCAAATGTGGAGCTCAAATGGGATAAAACGGGTACAAAATTGAGAATAGTCCATATAATCTAGAAGATTCTACTAAATTTGACACTGCAAGGTGGACGTGCAAGAAAATTTATAGTTTAGGAGATGATTGTAATTACCCAAACAGGAGAGATTTTTTCGTAATTTGACCATTCTTCAGGGGGTGTTTGTAATTTACCGTAAAATTAAATATTTGGAAAATGTTGACAAATGTGCTTACAGTTGTTTAAGATTAGGTAATGTGGCAAGGAATTCAGGGATTGGCCCTTTTAAGGTGTTATTATGAAGGGACTATTAGATATAACCCCCTTAAATATTCAAATAATAGGGGTAGACCCAAATTTATATTTGCCATTTTGATAACAACCCAAAATTTTTCTAATTACATAATTACCCTCAATCAAATCCCACAAAACCTGTTACTTTACCTTTTGAAATAAAATCAAATCCCTTCCTATTTTCCCGTTAAATCACTATCATCCCAAACCCCACTATCGAATAAACTGTAAAACCTCCCAGAACAACTTCCCGGTGCGGCCGATTGAAAGGGGAAGACGTCTGCACTGCCGTGAAACGACGATTTTCGTGCACTCCGAGCAAGCTGTCGTAGGTACGTCGTCGCCACTCGCTGAATCGCTATCATCCATCGATTTGTTGATATGTTTTGGCTAAATCGACTATCACGTTTGTGTATTTGCAGATCTGTTATAATCGCATACCGCATTCGAGCACTAAATCAGTGATATTGCAACAATTGATGGGCAGGACACCCACCAGAAGTGATATCGTCGTTGGCCGCCGCCGTCGCCGTCGCCGTCACTGCTCCAATCTAGGGTTACTCGAATATAGGATAACTCAAATCTAGGGTTTTGATAATTCTTCGGTCCGTAGTTGATTAACGAGATGCATAGTCGAATTACATCTGTATTAATATACTATCCCATATCATTTAGTAGACTATCCCACTGGTATAATTTTACTATGGATCTCGTTAATCGACTATGGGCCGAAGAATCATCAAAACCCTAGATTTGAGAAGTGACGGCGGCGGATTTGTGTTTTAAAATTAATAGACTATCTCATATCTTTTAATAGACTATCCCATGTATCTAATTCGACTATGGGTTTAGTTAAATGACTATTGGAAAAATAATAATATATATGGAAACTGAATAATATGTTTGTTTGAAATACTAATCAATTAGGGTAATTTTCCTTATTATATGAAAACGATTAGGGTAAATAATGATATATATGAAAAAATAATAATATATATGGAAACTGAATAATATGTTTGTTTGAAATACTAATCAATTAGGGTAATTTTCCTTATATCATGTATTAGACTATCTTATTCATCTAATTCGACTATGGATCTCGTTAATCGACTATGGATCCCGTATTATTCAACCACATAGTATATTAATAATTTCAATATAGTACATTGATCTGCTATGATAGTATATTACGATTATAGTAGTGATATGAATTGTGTTACAAACAATATACCACTGAAATGACAAGAACATTGAGAACAACACCAACGTAAAGTATTCCAACATAACCAATAAAATAGTACATTAATAATCTCATAATTTCAATCTAGGGTTTTGATAAAATACATAAAACACATCATAACACAATAAAATCAATATGTCGAGTTAAAAAACTCTAGTACATTAATAATCTCATAATAGTATAATAAAATGATAATGGTAGTATCATACGATATTCATAATAGTATACTACTGTATTACAACGGTTTAAAACTTAACCGAAGTTACCGAGCCATTACATCGTAAACA